TTCTCAGCTGCATATTTTTTCTGTTCATCACATTGAAGATTTCCTGCCATTCCTTTCTGGCCTGCCAAGTTTCAGTATATAGGTCTGCCACTAGACTTATCGATCTCCCTTTATATGTTAGAGCATGTTTATCCCTAGCTGGTTTCAGAATTTTCTCTTTATCCTTGTATTTTGCCAGTTTCACCATGATATGTCATGCAGAAGATTGCTTCAAGTTACGTCTGAAGGGAGTTCTCTGTGCCTCTTGGATTTCAATGCCTATTTCCTTCCCCAGATCTGGGAAGTTCTCAGCTATGATTTCTTCAAGTACACCTTCAGCCCCTTTCTCTCTTCCTCTTCCTATTTTACGGATATTGTTCCGTTTCATCGCATCACTTAGTTCTCTAATTCTCTCCTCATACTCCTGGATTTTTTTATCTCTCTTTTTCTCAGCTTCCTCTTTTTCCATAATTTTATCTTCTAATGCACCTATTCTCTCCTCTGCCTCTTCAATCCGAGCTGTGGTCGCCTCCGTTTTATTTTGCACCTCATTTATAGCATTTTTAGCTCCTCATGACTATTTCTTAGTCCTTGATCTCTGTAGCAATAGATTCTGTGCTGTCCTCTATACTTTTTTCAAGCCCAGTGATTAGTTTTATGACTATTATTCTAAATTCTTGTTCTGTTATATTGCTTAAATCGTTTTTGATCAATTTGTTAGCTGTCACTACTTCCTGGAGTTTCTTTTGAGGAGAGTTCTGTTTCGTCATTTTGGGTAGTCTCTGGGGTGGAACTGCAGGGCACTTCCCCTGTGCTGTCTGGAGTAATTTGTGTTGGTGGGCGGGGCCGTAGTCAGACCTGATGTCTGTCCCCAGCCCACCGCTGGGGCCACAGTCAGACTGGTATGTACCTTATCTTCCCCTCTCCCAGTGGCAGGACTCGCTGTGAAGTGGTGTGGCCCCTGTCTGGGCTGCTTGCACACTGCCAGGCTTGTGGTGCTGCTTCGATGGGATCTGGCCAATGGCGTATTAGCTAGGGTGGATCTGCAAGGTGCACAGGGGCGGGAGGGGCAGGCTCAGCTCACTTTGCCATCTGCGGTCCCCTACGGGAGGGGCCCTGCAGCACCGGGAGGGAGGCTGACTCATCAGAAGGTTGGATCCACAGAAGCACAGTGTTGGGTGTTTGCGCGGTGCAAGCAAGTTCAGTGATGGGAACTGGTTCCCTTTGGGATTTCGGCTGGGGGATGGGAGAGGGAGATGGCGCTGGCCAGCTCTGTCTTCCAGGGCTCAACAAACTTCCCTTCCGGTGTCCTCTCGCCCTCCCGCTCTCTGAGCAGAGCTGTTGACTTATAACATTCCAGATGTTAAGTCCCACTGGCTGTCATAACTCATGGAGTCTGGCCCCTCCGCTTTTGCAAGCCAGGCTCAGGGATTCCACCTTGCGGGCGGGCTGCCCCTCCACTGCCCCGGCTCCCTCCCGCCAGTCCGTGTAGCACGCACTGCCTCTCCACCCTTCCTACCCTCTTCTGTGGGCCTCTTGTCTACGCTTGGCTCCAGAGAGTCCGTTCTGCTAGTCTTCTGGTGGTTTTCTGGGTTATTTAGGCACGTGTGGGTGGAATCTAAGTGATCCACAGGACGCAGTGAGCCCAGTGTCCTCCTACGCTGCCATCTTCTTTCTCCAATTCATACAATTTTAGAAACTCAATGGCAGCAAACCTCCCTTGATCC